TTACACTCACCTCAATGATCTCTATCGATCCCCGTATGAATTTTTTTTAATTCGAGATTTGGTAGTATTGTGCATTTATGCCTTAAAGTATGAAATAGTATGGACCACAGGGCATGTTGGGATTGATATGATTTGATTTTTTTTTTTGTTTTCTTTTATGCTAATTGCACATTTGGAAATAGGCATTTTTCTGCCTTTTTTGTTTTGTTTGGAGATATTTTATAATTGGCGTGTATCTAAGCCGAAGCCCTGAAAGTCGACAACAATGGTGTGGAGAAACGCTTTAGGTTCGTCGATCACCCTGGCCTGTGGGAGTGTCCGGCCATTCAATACTCTCAACAATCAAAAAAAAAAAAAGTAGAATTCTCCTTTCTGTTTTGCTAAAGAAGGCGGGCTAGACACCTTTTGCAGAGATATTTCGTGGATATTTTTTTTTACAACTCAGCTCGGAAACTTGCAAAAAATACCATATTTCCAACCGACACTATTAATATATTAGTGCACAGATATAGTAAATTTTATTTTTGTAATAAAGCGTGAACTATTGTCTACAAGTGTGTGTAAAAGGTTTTTGATTCGATTCACGCGTTTGGGCACAGCAACCCAAAATCGTTGTACAAATTCATAGAGTACCCCAGAATTGTGTTCGTACAAAATTTGCTCTGTTTATATAGTTGAAATCAGCGTAAAAAGTACTATCGGTCTACGTTTTTAGGGTAGTTATCTAGTTGGGCTTTCAATACCCAAAATTTTTTGTTAATAACTTTTGATCGAGTGAAAAAAGTTAATTTCCGCATTCGGGTTCTTGTTCTTGGGAACCAGACGCATCTAATCTCTGTCCAAAATTTGGACCAATTTTGGGGGTTGAAAGCCCACCTAGATAATTACGGATTCAGAGCGAATGGATAAGGCTTGAGCCAAGAGCTTCGGTGAGCAAATCCAATTTTTGGCAATGTTAGTTACGAGGTTTTGCAGAACGGTGATACGCGGTTTTGGACTTTAAACGACGATATGTACGTATATTTTGTGCCGGTAAACCGTACGACGGGTAACCCAAATCAGAGTGTGAAGTCGGTTGTAATTGTTTTCTTACCGTCAACGCGCTACCCAATTTACTTCCAGCCGTACATAAATTGTTTAACGCATTTAAATAAGTTATCCAGGCAATAGAGCAGTCATTCAATGCCGTCTTTGTAGAAATTGATGCGGAGCTAGTAGAAATCGAAGAACCTGTACTGCTTAATGAATCTATTTGCACACCTGCAGTTATGGGCGCAACTGCGGCGCTTTCTAATTTATTTTCCATCTTGATTTTTTGTTTGTAAACAAGAGGTATTGGGTATAATTAAACTAAAAATGCAAAACTATCGATAGTATCTATACATATATTTTTCGCTAGTATCGCTTATAATTAGGTACTATCGATAGTCCGACAGACATATCATTTAAGCGTGCTACAGACAGGCAACAGGGCCTGAATCACGTATGACGACAATCGTCTAAACGATATCGTGTCGAGATTGTGTTGCTTCATGAAAACCAAAAATTGTTTGATCGCTTGTGTTGCATCGTCAACTGGATTCCAGTTTTGCTTCACGTAACAGTAATAGTAATACGTAACAGCAACAAAAATGCATAAATCAGTGTTTTTACGAGGTCGTTTTGTCAGTATCGTTTGAACGAGTATCGTTTCAAAGTTACGTGATCCCCAGATCGGAGCAATCGGTTTCAACTCGTTTCGCTACACACTAGAGGATCGGTTGCCGATTTCCATTCAATGTTGTTTGTCGGCAAGTAAACATGTTTGCAAAGAGAACAATACTATTAAATTATACATTACCAAAGATCGTAAATCTATAAGAAGAGACAACTCGCTGAAGTGTGGCGAGTGAGTCTGGAAGGTTTGCAAGAGGAATTCGCGTCCGTTTTGACATCAAGTTTCGTAAATGAATTCGCCGCACATTAGATTTCGCGGCGACAAAGAACGTTTAAGAAGGAGCGACCGATGATAGAAAGAAAGAAATGAAATAGCAAACAAGATGGCCGCGACCCTTTTTGTTTATTTGCCGTGGTCATTTAACATGCGCGTGTGCGTAGATTTTCTTTATTTTGTAATTCTAAACAAATGTAAGCAAGTTAAATGCATTCGCTATGCAAGAGCTTTACAAATTGCCTCTTTAATATGAAAGTTGTAAAGTTGTTATTTATGAATGAATATACCTTTTAATTAACAAATACAATATATGTAATAATAAAGTGAACATTTCAAATCAATAAATAATTTATGTATGTATGTATGTCCATATACGCATATGCGACTAAAATACAACAATAACAAATTCATTCATAAACGCATGCGCATATCTTCAAGGTCAGACTCATTCATTCATAATTCAATGACCATACATCTCCCTGCAAACTCATCGCCCACAAGCGCAACTTGTGCCAGAGGGCCACAAAAATTCTAAAATGTAAAATTGAAGAAATCACAGACAGTCAAATGAAAAGTTGCAAAAAATAATTTATCTCGAGTTTAGCCACTTTTTATCTAAACTTCTAAATCGCTGTGCTCCTTCCAACTTTTAAATTATCAATTAGTGGTTTAAGATTTTATTTTAATAAAA